TTATTACCACAAAACACAGATCAAGTAGAATTTTGGTGGCGTCACTTTAACGGTTCTAAAGTTATGCCCTTTAGAAATGGAAAAATTGCAAAATTTTTAGATTCCGTTCTCTTACTTAAGTTTGCCTCAACCAAATGTTATGAAACGTATACACAATGCTTATTACCACAAAACACAGATCAAGTTTGAATTTTGGTGGCGTCACTTTAACCGTTCTAGAGTTATGCCCCTTTATAAATGGAAAAATTGCAAAATTTTTATTTTCTTCTAAATATCAAGTAATTTATAAAATTGGAGTTATATCTTCCTTTGTCCATGATTATAGTTGAATCAACTACAATCAATGCTTTATACAATGCAATGTTAAATTTTGACTTCCACTGATAAAACACAGATCAAGTTGAATTTGGGTAGTGTCACTTTAACTATTATTGAGTTATGCCCCTTTATAAATTGAAAGATTGCAAAATTTTTAGTTTCCATTCTGTAACTTAAGTTTGCCCCAACCAAACATTATGAAACCTATACACAATATTCATTACCACAAAACTAAGATCAAGTACAAATTTTTTGTTTCCACTTTCTAACTTTAGTTTGCCTCAACCAAATGTTATGAAACTTATACACAATGCTTATTACTACATAATACAGATTAAGTACGAAATTTGGTGGCGCCACTTTTACCATTCTTGAGTTATGTCCCTTTATAAACATAAAAATTGCTGAATTTTTCGTTTCCGTTCTCTAACTTTAGTTTGTCTCAACCAAATGTTATAAAACTTATACACAACCGTTCTAGTATTTTTTTAAGTCGTTTTAGATAATTTAAAATGTTGGTTTCTGTTTCGCATTTTACCTGAAAATTATTTTCACACTGAGTCTCGAGTTTTTACAGATGAATCTTTTTTTCAAATTCAGTATAATTTTATTCTTTTAATGTGCATTTACATTTAATTTCTATTTTTTATGCCCCACCTACGATAGTAGAGGGGCATTATGTTTTTCGGTCTGTGCGTCCGTTCGTCCATCCGTCCGTTTGTCTGTCTGTCCTCTTCAGGTTAAAGTTTTTGGTCACTTCAGGTTAAAGTTTTTGGTCAAGGTAGTTTTTGATGAAGTTGAAGTCCAATCAACTTGAAACTTAGTACACATGTTCCCTATGATATGATCTTTTAATGCCAAATTAGAGTTTTGACCCCAATTTCACGGTCCACTGAACATAGAAAATGATAGTGCGAGTGGGGCATCCTGGTACTATGGACACATTCTTGTTTATAATGTTTTCTTTTACAAGTACTGTTTATGCAATGCTTATTATAATGTATTTTTAACTAATAAATAAAAATTAAAAAATATTATTTGCCATTCTCTTCACTGAATTCACAAAATACGCAAATTACAGATTTCCGTGTATATTTCATGTTTCATTCCCGATCTGATGACATTTTATTATAAAACAGGATGTAGGTACGCTTAGCCTTCGAAGGATCATGTCAAATGTCCAGAAAAGCTGTATAACATCTGTATATAAATACTTGAACATAAGTTTTGAAACTAATAATTGGAAAATAAATTTACCAAATTGACACACCTAACTGCAGGTTTTAGTGACATTATATAGATTGGAGTCATCTTTCTTTCACCCAGCTGGCTCTCTCACAAATTGTTTATCTATGTACATGTTATATAAATCATATAATAATCTTTAATGAATGTTTTGTCTAAAATGAATGTATATATGTTTGTCATTTTATTATTTTCTTGTTTGTAATTGATACGCCCATATGGTTCCTTTAATTAGGAAATAAACTGATTTAATTTGATTTGAATACAACTGGAACAGCCAAGGTGCACATTCCACAACTGATACATTTACCAAATCCTACTCCACCATTAGTACCCTATTTTATCACAGACATACTTTTACTAACTGTATCTCAACCCATTAGCATCAATTCTATTTGGTCTTTTGACTTTGGATACCAGAATAGTGGTCTGATCTATAAATGTAGTCATTATAACTCAACATGCAGACATCTTATACATTCGGGTATTTCACATCCAATCTTTTATGGTAATATTCTTTACAAAGCACAAAAATGTCAGTATTCACCTCAAAAGCTAACAAAACCTTTAAACAGACTTATTAAGAAGGGATATAGTTACGATACTGTTGTCAGGTCATTAAAGATTGCATATTTTGGCTTTAATATTGATTCACTTATAGGGTCTTTGCATTGGAATTAAACATATTTATTCTAAAACCAGTTTTTGGCATGACACAGGTTATGTTCTTCTCATATATTTTATGACGGTATAATACTAAACCCCTAACAGGAGGGATTGTGCCTGATATTCATATGATGACGACATAATCTTTCAATCAGTTTAATTGAGGTCTGGAGCTGGCATGTCAGTAACTGCTAGTAGTCTGTTGTTATTTATGTATTATTGTCATTTTGTTTATTTTCTTTTGTTTCCTATTCTGACATCGGACTCAGACTTCTCTTAAACTGAGTTTTACTGTGCTTACTGTTGTACGTTTGTTTTTTCTACATTGGCTAGAGGTATAGGGTGAGGGTTGAGATCTCAAAAAACATGTTTAACCCCGCCGCATTTTTGCGCCTGTCCCAAGTCAGGAGCCTCTTGCCTTTGTTAGTCTTGTATCATTTTTAATTTTAGTTTCTTGTGTATAACTTGGAGTTTAGTATGACGTCCATTATCACTGAACTAGTATACATATTTGTTTAGGGGCCAGCTGAAGGATGCCTCCGGGTGCTGGAGTTTCTCGCTGCATTGAAGACCCATTGGTGGCATTCGGCTGTTGTCTGCTCTATGGTCGGGTTGTTGTCTCTTTGACACATTCACCATTTCCATTCTCAATTTTATTGTGTCCTATTCCCAAATGTGACACTTTGACTGAGTGTGGATTCTCATGGTGGAGGATGTATGTATACATGTACATGTAGCCAGAGTTGATTTATACCCTACATCCATGCACCCACTGTCTCCTTATGGTGTTCATGCAATTTCATCTACATGTATGTTAGAAATACTAATGAGTAGTAGAACATCCTTTAATTGCTTTTGATTTCGAAAAAATTACAACTGCTTCAGACTACTATCAATAAAATCGTGAAAATTCTACCTTCATCATTGTTCTGTAATCATTGTAATTTACAAATTGCTGTTCATTTTTTTATATTAAATAATATCTAAATTGGGTACAAGTTGGTAAAGGTACAATTACAGGTGAACAAAAATAGGATACTAGTTGGTTGAGTACAAATTTACATGGATTCATGTGACCTACCCAATTAGATCCTTTAAACATGTTAAATAATGCATTTGTACAACTATGCATCATGTCATTTGTACAAATGTGAAATAATCTTTCAAATGAACATATGTACACAAGTTAATTTAAAAGTGACAGATTTTCAATTCAACGAAAAATTACCATATAAACATACTTATGTGCCATTAATGGCAAAATAAAATTTTGACATCCATTTTCAATGTACATGTACTTATTTTTTATTTGTATCAATAACATTTAGTATTCACAAAAAAGATCAAATGGTGTACATTGTACATGTTACATGATGAAGATTTAATTACATAATTTACACAGCAATACATGTAGTTAACTTGTTTTTAAACATGACGACTTCAGTATGTACATGTACACTAAAGAGATTTATCCTGCAGAACTGACTTTAGATAAAGCTAATACTAACAATGAACACTGCCCTTTCCTGGATCTTGATATCTTTGTCTTTAACGGGAAGCTTAATACCAAAATTTATGATAAAAGAGATGATTTCTAATTTCCTATTGTTAATTATCCATTTTTAGATGATGGCATTCCTTTGTCGCCATCTTATGGTGTTTATATATCTCAACTTGTTTAATTCGCTCGTGTATGTAACAACTTATTTGATTTCAACGAAAGAAATCTATGTATTACTGTAAAATTATTACACCAGGGTTTTCGATATCACAAACTAGTCAAAACATTTACCAAATTTTATCATCGGTACAAGGGCATCATTCGTAAATATAAATCAACATGCAGACATCTTATACGTTCAGGTATTTCACATCCAATATTTTATGGTAATATTCTTTACAAAGCACAAAAATGTCAGCATTCACCTCAAAAGCTAACCAAACCTATAAACAGACTTATTCGGAAAGGATATAGTTACGATACTGTTGTCAAGTCATTAAGGATTGCATATTTTGGTATTAATATTGATTCACTCATAGGGTCTTTGCATCGGAAATAAACACATTTATTCTAAAACCAGTTGTTGGCATGATACAGGTTATGTTCTTCTCATATATTTTATGATGGTATGATACTAAACCCCTAACGGGAGGGATTGTACTTGATTTTCATATGATGAAGACATAATCTTTCAATCAGTTTAATTGAGGTCTGGAGCTGGCATGTCAGTAACTGTTAGTAGTCCTTTGTTCATTTATGTATCATTGTCATTTTGCTTAGTTTCTTTTGTTACCTATTCTGACATCGTACTCAGACTTCTTTTAAACTGAGTTTTACTATGTGTATTGCTAGGTGTTTCTTTATTCTACATTGGCTAGAGGTATAGGGGGAGGTTTGAGATCTCACAAAACATGTTTAACCCTGCCACATTTTTGCGCCTGTCCCAAGTCAGGAGCCTCTGGCCTTTGTTAGTCTTGTATGTTTTTTAATTTTAGTTCATTTATATGTTTTGGAGTTTAGTGTGATGTCCATTTTCACTGAACTAGTACAACATTTTATTTAAGGGCCAGCTGAGGACCACCTCCTGGTGTGTGATTTTCTCGCTGCGTTGGAGACCCATTGGTGGCCTCCGGCTGTTGTCTGCTCTTTGGTCGGGTTGTTGTCTCTTTGACATATTCCCCATTTCCATTCTCAATTTTAAAGTAGATACATCATTACATTTACATGTATGACATGTGTACATCTCTTAATGAACACTTTTTAATTACAGCATAGTACATACACTTGATGGGGAAACAAGGAAGTAAACTACTATGTGGCTGTGGGCGAAAAAATACCAGACCTAAGACAAAAGTATATCATCCGTCAGATGAACCAGAGTTGGATATACAACAAAAAGGTGAACTGCCTTATTAACTCTAAAATTCTTTCTTTCTCTGTCCATCTAGGAAGGCACAAACAAAGTTTTGAGAAAAGGAGGACATTTAACAATGTTTTAAAAAATGGTCTCTTATAGAGTGAATATGTATGCCCCATTTTATCTGCCTTCGATTGTATGACTGCTATTCTTTCTTTCTTGATTTAATTTTTGCATTGTTTCTTCATCTGTTTTTTTCTTTTTAGGTAATGTAAATTCTGAAATCTTTGGATGCATTAATTGCAGTATCTTTAAAAAAATAATTGTAATGACATGTTGCCTGATGGCTTATGATGGATGTATAATGCAAAGGCCAATGCAAAGACTTCTTGGAGAGGGGGCTGTCAAACGTCGATTAATAGATAAATCAAAACTTCCAGGGAGCCTTAATCACACAGCCTGTAAAATATTATACAGCATCAAAATTATTAGCAGTGACAACCATCTGTCACACACTATGTAATATTGTGACCAGGTTTAATACAACTTAAATCAATTACAAATGTATGTTCACCTATTTGACTATAGATCTTATCTTGTGATCATTTCAGCTGTTCACAGTTTCTCTATGTATATGATTATAGATTTTAAGATAATAGCCAAACAGCAAAAAAATATCTCCTATAAAAAGTTGATTTAGAATTTCAGTTTAATATGTTGACTTATTCGAAGATCTTATCTTGCTTATAATTTTTGCTGGAGGAGTTTTTCTCCATTTAGTATCACTGATAATAGTTTTCAAGATAATAGCAAAACAAAAAGGGTAAAACTTAAATTTCAGGGATATAGCTTATATAAGGACTTAAATTGCCATTTTCATTTATTAAATTAAGAAGATGTTGTATGATTGCCAATGAGACAAGTCTCCATCAGATACCAAATGATTTAGAAATTAACAAACTATACATGTAGGTCACAATATGCCCTTCAACAATGAGCAAAACCCATACCGCAAAGGAAACTATAAAATTTGACTTCTTTGCCGATCATTTTGCCATTTACATGATTTCTTCCCTAACTAAATATATTTTTCAAGAAAATAGTAAAATTATGCAAAATGGGTGAATATTGTCATTGAATAGTATTAGGTCCGAGTACACAGTTATTTTGTAGTGCATTTCTTTTAGACAATAAATGAAAATTAAAAAAATCCCACCTGCGCTTTCTCAATAATATTTTTACAGTGTGTTGTACTACTTTTGGGACAAATTATATCAAAATTATAGAAAACTTCATCGGCTCTAACTCAAAATATGGACAATTTCATGTTAAGGGGGTCTTCAAATCTTTTGACAGCTTCCGAAGTGCTAATTTTTAACATTTTTCAGCTGGACCAAATCACTACTTTACTTTAAAATTCATGACCCAAATTTTTTTACAGTGTCATTTCACCCCCCTACTTACTATTTGAGTCATAAAACATGGAGAAATAAATTTGGAAGGGGTATAAAAAAAATCGACAAGTAACACACTGTCCACACTAGGGACTATATTCGTGGACAACGAAAATCAAAGGACGATAACTGTGTACCCGGACCTAATAGGGTAGAAAAAGTTGACCAATCTTCATGAAACTTGGTATGACCAAAGCTTAATAAATTATAAGACTGCTTACAAAGTTTCATGGCAATAGGATTTATATTATAAACAATATGACTAATTCTATATTCAACTTTGCGTGTTAAATTTAGACGTTAAAATTGAAAATTTTCAACTATCAACATTTGGGGCTTAAAAAATTAAAATATTGCAAAAAAATACTTTTGAAATGCCTTAATATATAATGTATTATGTATTAAAAGCAAAAGAGTACTCATTTGATTTATCAGACTTATCATAATTATTAAAAAGTCAAATTTATATGAGCCTGTGGCTAAAAATGGAGGTTTTCCAATGAAGGGGGGCCTTACATGAAGATGTAATATTTTCCAGCAATTTTAAATTTGTAAAGCTTTTTGGTTATAAATAATCCTTACATATGTATTTAATGTACTTTAAATGGAAAGAAAACTTACAAATAACATATCACATTAGTTTAAAAGGGTCTTAGGCCAAGTAAGACTGAAAATAATTTAGGGTCAATTTAAGCCGTATCACATATTTACATTTAAAAATGCATATTGAAGCTATAGGAAATAAAATTTTGTGTCTTTTCTATCATTTCTATACTCAGGTGACATGATACAATAAATCTGAGCACAAAAAGACTCTTGCATTCAACTTTTTTTGCAGACAGTATGGTCTGATACAAAGATTTTTCACTTTTTAGTGAAAAACATGCATGCAATTTTAGTCTCAACAGGCTTATATTTGAACCACTTGCTATCCTACAGAAGAAAAGAAAGATATTATGTGACATAAAACAGGTACAAAAGACATTGTTAAGTGCTTTTTATACAAATTTAGTGAGGTCTTTATAATGGACTTCAACTTTTATGTTCCAAGCTCCTCACATTTAACTTGATCCAAACAGGGCGTTAGACGAGGATCATATATACAACACATTTTGCACATATTGTCCGAGATAATCTTCTTTTCTGTAGATTCAGAGTTCACAAATGAGTAATACAACTGGATTGAAGCATAGAAACACAAATATTGACACATAAAAACCTGTCAGATAGAAAGTCAGAATGCCACTTATGCATCAAAATTGAAAAAGCTATGAAATGCTTATTTTGACCATAAAATGCCAAAATTGGTCATTTTTGCAGAAATTCTATCAAATAAAAGTTTAAATCCTTTAGTTTTATGCTATTTGATAAATTGACACCATCAAATCATTCAGGGAAGTTGCCAAAGTACAGATTCTATATTTCCCGATTTCACCTCTTAGGTCCGAGTACACAGTTATTTTGTAGTGCATTTCTTTTAGACAATAAATGAAAATTAAAAAAATCCCACCTGCGCTTTCTCAATAATATTTTTACAGTGTGTTGTACTACTTTTGGGACAAATTATATCAAAATTATAGAAAACTTCATCGGCTCTAACTCAAAATATGGACAATTTCATGTTAAGGGGGTCTTCAAATCTTTTGACAGCTTCCGAAGTGCTAATTTTTAACATTTTTCAGCTGGACCAAATCACTACTTTACTTTAAAATTCATGACCCAAATTTTTTTACAGTGTCATTTCACCCCCCTACTTACTATTTGAGTCATAAAACATGGAGAAATAAATTTGGAAGGGGTATAAAAAAAATCGACAAGTAACACACTGTCCACACTAGGGACTATATTCGTGGACAACGAAAATCAAAGGACGATAACTGTGTACCCGGACCATTACATGTATAAGTGGATTGTCAATTTAGGTCATATTGACTTACGATGACCTATAGTTGTTAATTTCTGTGTCATTTGGTCTCTTGTGGAGAGTTGTCTAATTAGCAATTATACCACATCTTTTTATAGGACTGCAAAAAATTTGTGGCCGTATATTGATTACACGTCGTGGTCGTCAATGTCCGAAGACATTTGGTTTCCGGACAATAACTTTAGTATTAGTAAATAGAAATCTATGAAATTTAAACATCGAGGAGGACGTAAGGGGCCGAAGGTATTCCACGGAATTTTTTTTTGCTCCTACAAATCCATGTCAAATAGTAGTATCAAAGACGTTATCCAGAGTATAAGTATACTAAATAGTTGCCTACTAGGTAGATAGTTGAATTAAAGCTAGCTAGTTTTAATATTTTTGCAAATATACGGACACAAACCCATATTGATGATGGCAAGTTTGGATATCAACAGTGCTGATGTCAGCCATATTAAAAACTTACCCGAGTCATACAAAAACGCAGTGAAAAATGGTCTGATAGCCGATAATCTGGTTGAAAACCCTATGAATCCAGATGATATTCTAGGTGCTGTTAAACCCATTTTCCTGCTAGAGAAAGATCTGTTTGGTGATGTTAAAACAAACAAAGATCAGTTTCTAAACCATGTTGAACTTTATAAAGCTATCAATCATGTTGTTAATTCTAGTCACCTAAAAGGTTTGCAAAGGGTAAAAGGGATGTGGCGCATTTATCCCGACTCTGAACCTGACAGAGACACTTTAATAACAGAGGGATTGGTAGTAAGGAAAAAACTTTTGAAAATTTATACACGCAATCCTAATTCAAAGGTATATGATCACGACAAACCTTATCACTGGCGTGTTAGAGTTAAGAACATCCCCTGCTCTGCTGAGGATGGACAGATTACGAGGGCGGTAGAAAATCTAGGAGGAATAGTCCACACATTAGACAGAGAGCGACTCAGAGTTGACAGTTTACTCACCAATTGCCAAACAGGTGACAGGATACTATACTGTGAACCTATGGAAAAAGTCTTGCCTAGAACCCTAAGAATCGGTAAATATATGGCTGTTTTGTTACACAAAGAGCAGAAAACTGATTCTTCTCAGCTCACATGTAACAAATGTCTGCAAACTGGGCACATGCTCAGAGACTGTCCAAATCAATGGGTATGTACATCATGTAATAATCCCGGACATAAAAAAGCTGAGTGTCCCAATTTCGGGACCACAAGTGACAACGCCCAAGACCAGCCAGTCAATGTCAACAATAATGGCATACATGAACCAGAATCAGAAGATTTGACAAGTGAAGACGAGAATATAACTAAACATAAACAAACAAACACTACAAATATGGGAACCACTAATCAGTCTCCGTCTTTTTTAAAAGATTTCAATCTCACAAGCGCAAGTTTCAGCTATAATGCTTCAAATAAAAGTGATGCAGCTCATGATATGAATGAGCCTGAACACCAAGGCAATTCAGCAGCTAAACATAACAATGAAATTAAAAAAGCAAAAGCAAAAGCTAAAGCTAAAAAAAAGTCCGGCAAAAAAGACGGTCAACAACAACTGAATAAAGACAATCGAGGAGAATCCTACTCAACCAACATTATTCTTTCATTTCCAAGGGAACGACAATGTTGGAACACCAGATGGTCGTAAAGACAAACGCC